ACCGAGGGGGGGAGGGGGGGGACGGAGGGACTCGGCGCTTCCCGCCTCCCCCAGTGCGCCGCCCCCGCCCCATCCCGCGCCAGGTCCGCTTCCTGCACATGGGCAGCCACAACGGCTGGAACGCCGAGGCCCGCGCGGCGCGGGGGGTGCGCTCAGGGGTTCTCCCGTGCGCCTCGAGGCGGTCTTGCGGGGGGCGGGGCCCGTCCGGCAACCTCATCAGCCCGAGGAGAGCTTCAAGATGGTTGCTCTGATTCACCGAGCGCGCTCCGCTACTCGCAAAGCGCCTACTCGCAACCGTCCGAACAAGAGCATGTCTTCTATACAGTGGAGGCCCATGCCAAGAAACACCCTGCTTGCCTCCAGGGTGCCCTGGGTTTCTTGGGTTTCGATGGTTTTGTTGTGGCAAGCGTGACGTTCCCACACCAAAAATCAACGGACGTCCTGGGGTCTCAGAGTTGGGTTTCTTGTGGAAGGTTTCTTGTGGATTGGCCTCCACCGTATGCAACGGATCGTACATCCCCCGCGGCGGATCCAAGTCAGTCGCGAGTATTTACTTTGCGAGTAGTGGGGCGCGCTTGTCCACTGAAGCGCCGCCTGGCGGTCTCGGGGCCCCATGCCGTGGTTCGGGAGGCATGCCGGATGCGAGTGCATCGCCGATGCATCGGCAATGTATCGCCGATGTATCGGCGATGCGGCGAGATCCTCCGACCCCATCTGCTCGGACTCCATCTAGGAGGTCTCCAGGTGTGCACCGACCAGGGCTTGCGTGCAGGATCCTGCAGGCTTCCGCAGGATCTTGCAAGGCCTGACTGACCCGGGTCCGCATTGACCCAAGTTGGTACGTCCCTGAGATTTGCCCGCCATTGAAGTCGACCCGACATGTTTATCTAGTCGTTGAGTCTCCGCCAGGACACCTTCAATGCCAGCGGATGTCCTGTCCTGTCCTCCCACCCCCCCTCCCACGCTTGCCTCTGACCTCCGCATGTCCACCATTTCAGCGCCATACAAAACAGCGCTTCGTGGCCCCGTAGGGAGCCCCACCGAAAGCCCCAGTGGTTTTGAACACATGCGCCCGCGCCACCCAGTGCAGCGCTTCGTGGCACCATAGGGAGCTCCACCGAAGGCCCCTGTTGCTGTGACCACACGCGCCCGCGCCACCTCGCACAGCGCTTCGTGGCCACATAGGTAGCTCCGCCCCGCGTCCACTCCTTCTTTCCTCTTGCTGCCCCTATCCCTCCCCCCTTTCCGCGTCCTCATCGTCATCGTCAGTATTATCGCCATTACCGTCGTCATCATCGTCGCCATCATCATCATCATCATCATCATCATCATCATCATCATCATCATCATCATCATCAGCATCATCAGCATCATCAACATCAGCGTCAGCATCATCAGCATCAGCATCATCGTCACCATCATCAGCATCGACACCATCAGCATCATCACCATCATCATTACCAGCAGCATCGCCATCGTCAGTATCGTGCCTCTGCCCGGTGCACGCGCAACATTTCGGCACACCCATCACGCACTTCGTGGCCCCATAGAGCGCTCCACCGAAGGCCACAGTGACAGGGTCCTCATGCGTTCCCCCGCCCATTTCGGCACACCTCTCACACGCTTCGTGGCCCCACAGGGAGCCCCACCGAATGCCCGAGTGGCAGGGTCTTCATGCTTCCCCCCGCTCATACAAAACAGCGCTTCGTGGCCCCATAGGGAGCCCCACCGAAAGCCCCAGTGGCTTTGACCACATGCGTCCGCGCCACCCAGTGCAGCGCTTCGTCGCCCCATAGGGAGCTCCACCGAAGGCCCCCATTGCTGTGACCACACGCGCCCGCGCCACCTCGCACAGCGCGTCGTGGCCACATAGGTAGCTCCACCGAAGGCCCCCGCTGCTGTGACCACATGCGTCCGCGCCACCCAGTGCAGCGCTTCGTGGCCCCATAGGTAGTTCCACCGAAGGCTCTAGTGTCAGTGATCACATGTGTCCGCGCCACCCAGTACAGCGCTTCGTGATCCCATAGGGACTTCCACCGAAGGCCCTCGTGATCTCATAGGGAGCTCCACCAAAGGCCCCTGTGGCTGTGACCACACGCGCCCGCGCCACCCAGTGACACCGCTTCGTGGCCCAAGAGGGAGCTCCACCGAAAGCCCAAGCGGTTGTGACCGCATGCTTCCGCACCACCCAGTACAGCGCTTCGCGCCTCCGCAACGTCCGTCGGGAGCCCCATCGAGGTTCCCAGTAGTTGTGACCACATGCGCCCGCGCCCGCTTCGAAGCCGCACGAGGTGGCCCCACCGAGGGACCCACTGGCTGTGACCACACGCGCCCGCGCCACCCAGTACAGCGCTTCGTGACCCCAGAGGGAACTCCACCGAACGCCCCAGTGGCTGTGACCACATGCGTCCGCGCCAGCCAGTACAACGCTTCGTGGCCTCATAGAGATCCCCACCGAAGGCCCAAATGGTTTTGACCACATGCACCCGCGCCACCCAGCACAGCGCTCCGTAGCCCCATAAGGTGGGTCCACCGAAGGCCCAAGTGGCTGTGACCACATGCGCCCGCGCCACCCAGTACAGCGCCTCGTAGCCCCGTAGGGTGCTCCACCGATCGCCCCAGTGGTTGTGACCACATGAGCCCGCGCCACCTAGTACAGCGCTTCGTGGCCACATAGGTAGCTCTACCGAGCGCGCCAGTGGCTGTGATCACATGCGTCCGCGCCACCTAGTACAGCGCTTCGTGATCCCACAGGGAGCTCCACCGAAGGCCCCAGTGGCTGTGACCACATGCGTCCGCGCCACCAAGTACAGCGCTTCGTGGCCCCATAGGGAGCTCCACCGAAGACCTCGAAGGATGTGACCACATACTTCCGCACCACTCAATACAGCGCTTCGAGGCCCCACAGGGAGCCCCACCGAAGGCCCAAGTAGTTGTGACCACATGCGTCCGCGACACCCAGTACAGCGTTTCGTGGCTCCATCGGGTGCTCCACCGAAGATCCCATCGGCTGTGACCACATGCGCCCGCGCCACCTAGTACAGCGCCTCGTGGCCAAATAGGCAGCTCTACCGAGCACGCCAGTGGCTGTGATCACATGCGTCCGCGCCACCTAGTACAGCGCTTCGCGATCCCATTGGGAGCTCCACCGAACGCCCCAGTGGCTGTGATCACATGCGTCCGCTCCACCCAGTACACCCATAGGGTGCTCCACCGAATGCCCAAGTGGTTGTGGCCACACGCGCCCGCGCCACCCAGTACTACGCTTCGTAGTCTCATCGGGTGCTCCACCGAAGACCCCAGCGGCTGTGACCACATGCGTCCGCGCCACCCAGTACACCGCTTCGTGGCCCCATACATGCGTCCGCGCCACCCCAGTGGCCGTGACCACATGCGCCCGCCACATCCAGTACAACGCTTCGTGGCCTCATAGAGGTCTTCACCGCAGGCCCAAGTGGCCGTGACCACATGCACCCGCGCCACCCAGTACAACGCTTCGTGGCCCCAATTGGAGCCCCACCGAAGGCCCAGGTGGCTGTGACCAAATGCGTCCGCGCCACCCAGTACAACGCTTCGTGGCCTCATTGAGAACCCACCGAAGGCCCCAGTGGTTGTGACCACATGAGTCCGCGCCACCCAGTACAGCGCTCCGTGGTTCCATAGGGAGCTCCACCGATCGCCTCAGTGGTTGTGACCAAATACGCCCGCGCCACCCAGTACAGCGCATCGTGGCCCCCTAGGAAGCTCTTCCGAAGGCCCCCGCGGCTGTGACCACCATGCGTCCGCGCCACCCAGTACAGCGCTTCGTGGCCCCACATGGAGCTCCACCGGATGCCACCGTGGCTGTGACCACATACGTCCGCGCCACCCAGTACAGCGCGTCGTGGCCCCATAGGGAGCTCCACCGAAGCTCCCGGTGGCTGTGATCACATGCTTTTCCCCCGCCCGTTGCGGCACACCTTTCGCGCTTGGTTGTGGTTTGCCCCAGGGTGTTCCAGGAAGGCTTCGGCGGCGGTGTCCAAATGCGCCCCCCCATGTTGGCATACTCCTCACACGTCTCGTGGCCCCGTAAAAGCGCCCCCTCGTTCGTCCCACCTGCCTTGCGACATTCACAATTGCACAGTGTTGGATCCTTCGGCAGGATCATGTTTCAGATTCCGCTGGGACCCCGTCAGTGCAAGCACCGATTAGGAAAACACGTAGAATGTCACCACCCACCAAACCACCCCAACCCAACCCGAAGGCTTCAATATGCCCTCCATTTCTAGTTGGGGGGTGTCGGGGAACCAACCCGAAATTCGGGTGAAATTCTGGTCAAATTCCAACCCGTACCCCCCAACCCGAAATTCGGGTCAAATTCGGGTCTTCGGGTTGGGTTGGGGTGGTCTGGTAGGTAGTCAGAATGGAGCCGCGCGGAGGTCGTGAATCTGCACCTCGTCGTGCCCATCGACGTCGGCAGAAAGGTGTACGCCTTCAGCAGGCCCGTGGGTCCCTGCAGCGCGCGGCAAACCCCTGCGTTCGGCCCGCTCGGGGCCCTTCTTTCGCACCGTGGCCCCCCCGCGGTGGAAGAAGGGAGGAGAGCGGAGGGGGAAGGGGGGAGAGGGGGAGGAGGAGGAGGAGGAGGAGGAGGAGGAGGAGGAGGAGGGGAGGAGGACGAGGGCGAGGAGGCGGAGGAGTAAGAGGAGGAGGAGGAGGAGGGGAGGGAGGAGGAGGAGGAGAGGAGGAGGAGGAGGAGGAGGGAGGAGGAGGAGGAGGAGGAGGGAGGAGGAGGAGGAGGAGAGGAGGAGGAGGAGGAGGGAGGAGGAGGAGGAGGAGGAGGAGGAGGAGAGGAGGAGGAGCAGGGAGAGGAGCAGGAGCAGGTGCAGAGGAGCAGGAGCAGGAGCAGGAGCAGGAGCAGGAGGAGGAGGAGGAGGAGGAGGAGGAGGAGGAGGAGGAGGAGGAGGAGGAGGTAGTAGGAGGAGGAGGGGGAGGAGAGAGAGGAGGGAGCCAGATAAGGGGGAGGAAGGGTGATTGATTGGGAGAGGAGAGCGGAGGGAGGGACAAGTTGTGCGCTCGCGCCTGACATCCTACCCCTCCCGCCCATCCCTTCCCCTTGCGCTGATTGTCTCGCTATCCGCCGACGGGTGTTTTAGCGGACGTGGAACTCCCCAAAGGGCCCCTATCGTGGCATGCGCAGTTTGAATACGGGAGTTGTGTACGTTGGAGGAGGAGGAGGAGGAGGAGGAGGAGGAGGAGGAGGAGGAGGTGGAGGTGGAGGTGGAGGTGGTGGTGGTGGATGAGCAATGGGATAAGCAGGAGGAAGAGGGTGAGGATGAGGCAGGAGGAGGACGAGGGGGAACAGTTGCAGCAAGAGCGGGGGCACGAGCTTAGCGACCGGAGCAGGAAGGCCAGGGGAACCGCGGAGGAGGGCAAAGGAGCGGGGCGGCGACAACGAAGCATGATTTGGATCCAGAATGGTAGTCTGCGCGGAAGCGAGCGCACCATTCTGAACGACGGGGGCAAAGCGTCGATCCAACAATCAGGCCAACTCATCAGCGGGAGCACCGTTCCGAAACACCGAACACGTTCCGAATGAGCAACCAGAATGAAAGGCTGTCTCTGCGATCCTGGTCATTCAAGAGAGAATATGCGGGAGACGTCCTGCCACGCCCGGTCTGGATGCGGTCAGGGAGGAAGTATTCAGATTGCGTTATGTGATCTGTTCGTGGAGGCAAGAGGGAGCCGGATGGAGGGCGCGAGGGATGGGGCATGTGGGGACGAGGGAACATTTAGGCAGAAGGGGGAGAGGGGGATAGGGGGGCGGCGGAGAGTGTGCTGCCTCATGCTGGCAGCACCGGGCGGGAAAGGATGGACCAGGAGGTTCCTGCTCGTCCTCCGCGCTCGGGCCCCCCCCCCCATCCCCCTTCCATCCTCGCCCTCTCTCCCTTTCCCCGCTCACTCTGCATCCCTCGCTCCTAGCCGCCCCCCCCCCCTTCCCCCACCTTCATCCCCACCCCCCCTCGGGCCCACGTCGCCCCTCCCTCGGGGGGGGGGGGGGCGGCCGAGGCGTACGTCGGCAGCCCTCCCGAGCGAGTAGGGAGGAGGGAGCAGCAGCAGATGGAGAAGCATGAGCAGGAGGAGAGGGACAAGGAACGAGGAGCAGGAGGATGAGGATCGATGAGGAGGAGGAGGAGGAGGAGGAGACGGAGACGGAGACGGAGGAGGAAGAGGAGGAGGAGAGAGGAGGAGAGGAGAGAGGAGAGAGGAGGGAGGAAGAGGGACGATGGTGAAGCAGCAAGGGCATGTGCGTGAGGTCTCGAGAGGTCCCTGGAGGCCGCTTGAGGTCTTCAAAAGGTCCCTGGAGGTCTCCAGGAGTCCGCTGTGATCCCCCAGGTGGATGCAGGGGCTGAGCGGGCTCTGCCGACAATCTCATCTCCGGGGTGCTTCGGGGCTCAAGAGACGGGGGTCAACGCAAATGGGGGTCAGTCAGAGCGCCCGGTCTTGCAGGATCCTGCAGGGCCAGGGGCGCATTGACCCTGGTTTGGGTGCAGGATCCTGCAGAATGTTGCATCATTTTGCAAGGCCTGATTGACCCGATGTTCGATTGACCCGGGTTAGGAGATCCCCGAGTGTTCGGGCATGTTCGGCCCAGATCAGCATTGCGACAGCGCCGTTGATAAGCAGTTGATGCGTGATGCGAGTAGCAGTCATCAGCATCATCAACATCAGCGTTAGCATCATCATCATCATCATCATCATCATCATCATCATCATCATCATCATCATCATCATCATCATCATCATCATCATCATCATCGTCATCGTCATCGTCATCGTCATCATCATAATCCGCGTCGTCATCATCAGCAACAGTATCATATTATTCATCATCATCAGCATCAGCATCATTGTCACCACAGCATCATCGACATCAGCATTAGCATCATCATCATCATCGTCATCATCATCACCATCATCATCAGCAGCATCGCCATTGTCAGCATCGTGCCTCTGCTCGGTGCACGCGCAACATTTCGGCACACCCATCACACGCTTCTCGGCCCCATAGAGAGCTCCACCGAAGGCCACAGTGACAGGGTCCTCATGCGTTCCCCCCATTTCGGCACACCTCTCTCACACGCTTCGTGGCCCCACAGGGAGCTCCCCCGAATGCCCGAGTGGCAGGGTCCTCATGCGTCCCCCCCCCCCCCCCCCCCATTTCGGCAGACCGCTCGCACGGCCCACCGAAGGCCCCAGTGGCAGGGTCCGCATGCGTCCCCCCGCGCAGTCCAGCATACCCTCAAACGCTTCGTGGCCCCACAGGCAGATCCACCGAGTGCTCCACTAGCAGGGCTCTGGCGTGGCACTCGGGCACCCCGAGGGGGGCCGCCAGGGGGGGGGACACTCCAGGAGTCGCGCCCGGATTGTTGGGATGTATTACACCTTAGGCGATGCTTAAGAAAACTTAAGTTTTCGGCCATAGTCTCGATGATTCTTAACGTCTCAATGTAAATCTTAAGATGTTAATGGAAGTGTTGGGTTTTTATTCAAGTTCTGAGACTATGAATTTCTTAACCCATGATTTCTTAAGCATTTCGCAGGGTGTAGGCGAGTTGCCTGTTTCTGCACCAGATTAAGTACGGTTTGGTGATCGGAGACTCACCGCCATATAGCAGGCGTTGCACTCGGGCACCCCAAGGGGGAGCCGCCAGGGGTGAAGACACTACAGGATACGCGCCCAGATTGCTGGGATGCCTCACCCCGGATTTTTTCTGTTTTGGTGGTCGGAGGCTGACCCCGATAAAACAGGCGTGGCACTCGGGCATCCCAAGGAAGAGCCGCCTGGGGTGAGGACACTCCAGAAGTCGCGCACAGATTGTGGAAATGTCCCAGGCGACGTTCTCGTTGCTGACCCCCGGACTTGTACTTGTTTGTGGTCGAATAGCCACCGCAATGCAGCAGGCGCGGCATTTGGGCACCCCACGGGGGAGCCGCCAGGGGTGGGGACGCTCCAGGATTCGCGCCCAGATTGTGGGGATGTCCCGGCTGGTTTGTCAGTTTCTGCCAGACAGTTTATTTGGGGCTTGTGTGATACCGATTCGCTCACGCACTCACTTACGTCTTTTCCTTCTTGCTCATTCAGATGCATTGGTTTGTATTCGAACTTTATCAGCATCACATCTTCCTCATTCATATTTATTCATCCTATTCCAAAGAATGCATACTTAAATTGATTGATGTTCAGACTCACTTATACCTAACTTGCTTCTACTCAGACTGACTTAAACTCAGACTCACTCACACCCAGACCAACTCACACACAGACACACTCACACTCATACTCACTCACCTTCAGACTCACTCATACTCAGACTAACTCGCACCCAGGCTCACTCGTACTCTGATTTGTACTCATGACGCTCAAGCTCAGACTCACCGGCATTCAGACTCTTTCCCACTCAGACCCACGCGTTCTTAGATTCGTTCGCATTCTGACTCCCTATACTCAGACCCGCTCGTACTCAGACTGACTATATCCAGACTCACACTCAGGTTCAATCATTCCCAGATTCACTCACACTCCGACTCACTCACATTCAGATCACCCACGCTCACATCGCACTAAGGCTCACACACGAGTGGCTACCTCGATATAACTGGCGTGGCACTTGGGCGCCCAAATGCCAGCAGGCGCCGCGAATAGCGCGCCAGAAAGCGGGCGAAGCACTGCCGTGCGTGCTTGCTTGAGTTGCCGCGGGGAGAGCGGCAGGAGGAAGCCCCCCGTCGCTCCTCCGCTTGCGCCACAGCCAGATGCTCACAAGCAGAGTTCCTCGGCGAGACGTGACAAGAGTATGAGATGGTAATCGTTGTTGAATTCATTGTATTGCCGATCGGCGCGGGCCCCAAAACCCCCCCTTCCCCCATGGAGCAGAACTTGGCTCTTTTGGCGCCTGCTTCGAGCGGGTGGAGTCTCCCCTGGAGGCCGCACTCTTCCAAACAGTCGCACTGAGCAGAGGTCTGGAGCCAGACCCCTTCCCCCCCCCCCCTTTCCGCCCAATGTCGAAACTCCGAATAACGCGGAGGAGGAGGAGGAGGAGGAGGAGGAGGAGGAGGAGGAGGAGGAGGAGGAGGAGGAGGGAGGAGGAGGAGGAGGGAGGCGGAGGAGGAGGAGGAGGAGGAGGATGAGGAGGAGGGAGGAGGAGGAGTAGGAGGAGGAGGAGGAAGAAGAGGATGAGGCGGAGGGCCGTCTGGGGATCGCCGCGCCGAGTGTTTTTGTTGTCTGCGGTCTGCCTCGCGGGCGCCGGCGCCCGCCCGCGCCGGGAAGTTCGCGGGGGTGGCGCCGCGCCTCGCCCCCTAACTTTGAGCCGGGCGTGCCCCTCTGCAGGGGTCGGGTCGGGCGAAAGGGGGGGATTGGGAAATGGGGGGTTACGAAATTTGCTGCATGCAGCTGGTTTCGGCCTCACCGAGGGGCCCATTCCTCGATACATGGGCGCCTCCCGGCGCCGGGAGGCGCCAGGAAAGTCAGCTACGTGAGCTGATTCTCAAACCCCCCCTTTGCTATCCCCCCCTTTCGCCCGACCCGAAGGGGGAGTACTCAAAAATCAAGCAGTGGCGAAGCGTTCTGGTTCGCCTATAGCCCTACCAACAATGTTCTAAGAACCTGCTGTGGCTCCCAGGAAATGTTCCTAGAACATTTCCGGCGGAGCCTGTCTTGCTTTTGACAGATTGGGGATATGTTCTGAGAACATTGTTTTTGTTATTAGAACATGTTTGGGTTCTAAGAACATTTCGTGGTAGGACTATAGGAATGCCGGGGCGGTCGGTCCCTGCTCAAAAAAATTGTCAAAAGATAGTCTGGGGATGAGTTCTCGATTATTATTTGGCAGTGTCTGAAGATGTGTTGCATGTGCTTTTCATCGTTCGTCCAGAATCCGCCTGTAGGGCGGCATGCCCGACCTGACCCTAACGCGGCCGAGCGCTCAGGTCGGGAGAGCACAACGGTGTCATCTGGGGCGGGGACGGCATGATCCACCACGTCTTCCACGACGCGAGCAACTGGAGACCCGACGGCCGACGGCGGCTTCCTCCTCCGTTTACGGAGCGTTTCGCTCCCGACCGATGGCGAGTTGGCATTGCAATGCCCCTGCGGCCCTTGCCGCCGATCCTGAGGAGCGAGCAGCTGGGGCACAAGAGACAGAAGGGACATTGGGACAAGGGGCTGTGAGCAGCGGCGGCTCCAGTGCCACGGCGAATAGCTACTGGTTCGGCCCATCCCGCCATTGTACCTGGGTCGTGTTGGGATTAAGGACAGTTCAGGGGCTTAGGGGGCGTCTTGGGGGTCTCTTGGGGGTCTGTCTGGCCAACTTTGTGGCGTTTTGGGCCTCTTGGGAGTCTTGGGATCATCTGAGGAGGGTTTGCCTTCTCCTGTTGCAGTGCGACAGTGGCGCGCTTTTAGGGCCCCTATTGCGGCCGTCTTGGGGGCCCCGTGGGCCATCTTGGGCTGGTTATTGGAGGGCTCTTCGGCAACGAATGTTCTTGCGACCGATGCTGCGAGAATGTTCTGATCGCGCTTGACGGGTGCAGCTGAGTTCGGCCTCCTGGGCCGGCTTTCGCGACCTCCAAGACGGCCCGCGAGATTCCCAAGAGTGCCGAGGTTGGCCTCGAGAGCTCTAACGAGCCTCGGTGGCCCAAAGATCGCCAAGCTGTCCCCGAGATGGCCCGAGTCACTCCAATGTTGACCTCTCGGACGAGCCCCTGGGCCTGCTCAGCAGGTTCCCAGGAGAGGGAAGGACGGGAATGGGAGCGCCACGAAGACGTACAGTGGAGGCCCCTGCCCCCTCCTCCTCCTCCGCCTCCGCCTCCTCCTCTTCCTCCTCCTCCTCCTCCTCTTTCTCCTCCTCCTCCTCATCATCCTTCTCCTCCTCCTCCTCCTCCTCCTCCTCCTCCTCCTCCTCCTCCTCCTCCTCCTCCTCCTCCTTGACCGCTTCGACAGCTCAGGAGGTTCCCTGGAGAGCCCCAGGACGGATCCCTGGGGCCATCGCAGGGGCCACGCGGGCAGCGGGGAGTCCCTGCCATGCGCCTTGGGCTTCGGGAGCAGCAGCGACACGAATCCCAGCAGCGCATGGGCGCGCCAAGAGCAACTCCGGGAATGCGGATGTAGAGAGCGCCTACAGTTCTCAAGATTGCGGGCTTCCTGGGTGTTCAGGACGTTCCGCTCCGTGCCTCGCGGCACGATGGCGGTTTCCGCCGGGCTCGGGCGCCTTGCAAAATTACACACCGTGCCCATGTGTATGGAACACATGCTTGGCATCGAGTTTGGATATTCACACGTCATGTCTCCGGAGGGTTGTCCGGTGTGTCCCCGGAGGGACCTCGATACCAGTCGGGAGAGATTTGAGACGCACCCAATATAGTCCGAAAACAGACGTGAATTATCCCACTGCTATGTGTTCGTCCTGCTCGACAAGTTGGCTGACCCGACAACAGGCATACACGTTTGAGAATGAGCCATCTCGCAACCAGATTGAGTGCCCGTGCAGTGCAGGTCAACGGGCTCGGTGGTTTTGGTGCCATGGTTTTGTACTGCGCTTATGTGTTGTACATACGCAGTTGGTGGTGGGTTGTTTGGAGCCTGGGCCAGGCCATATTGATACGTTTGAACCCGTAGTTTGAACAGTAACGCACGTAGTTTGCCCTTGTCGTGTTCATTCGATCTGACACGATAGACAGCATTCGGCCACATTCGGAAATGTTAGAGTCGGAGGAGGCCAAGGCCAGAGGTTGCGGTAGCATTTCTTGCATATTATCAGTCATGTCCATCACGCTCCCAGGATCGATTTCAAGCACGAGAAGCACGCGCAGGATCGATATTTCTAAAATTGTTGTTCGTGGCAACGTGTGCCGGCGCTCTTGAAGAGGAGAATGTTGAGCAGCCGCGACAAGAGCACGAGTTTGAGTTCGAGAGTAGGAGGGGGATCACGTGGGAGAAGGGGCGAGAAAACATCAAGGAGGGGGATCGAGAAGGGAGGGGGGAACGGAGGAACGACGGCGGATGTGGGAAGCCCAAGGGAGGAAGAAGTCACGAAAAACCAAGGAGGCCAGGAGCGAGAAGGAGGACGAATAGGAGGAGGAGGAGGAGGAGGAGGAGGAGGAGGAGGAGTCGAGGAGTCGAGGAGCGAGGAGGCGAGGAGCGAGCAGGAGCCCGAGGCCCAGTAGCTTGCCTAAGAACAGGAGGAGGAGCGGTTCAGGTTTGCAGTGCTGACAGTCGTGAATTGAAGCGGAGGCAAGCGATGACGGTGTTGGCTGCAGACTCTCACCGTGGTTGTTGCCCTTTTTTGTGCCACACGGACGGTGAATGTTCGAATATTTGTTTCAAATCTGCATTCAACTCTTCCACCTCCATCGCCGCGGCATCCAACACCTCCTCCTCATTCCTCCTCCCTTCTCTCCTCCTCCTTTTCTCGTGATCATCGGCCACGCGCAGAGGAGGGGGGGGGCTTCTTAGAAGCACCCCTGCTTCTTAGAAGGCGCGGTCCTTATCTATAGATGCAAGGCCAGCGCCTTCTAAGAAGCAGCCTCCTTCTAAGAAGCATTCCCTCCTCCCTCCACCCCCTTCTGCGCGCCGCCACGACCATCCTCCCCCTCCCCCTCCTCCTCCTCCTCCTGATCTCCTCCTCCTCCTCCTCCTCCTCCTCCTCCTCCTCCTCCTCCTCCTCTGGAGGCGCTCAGTCACTTCTCTCCCCTCCCTGGCGGTTGCAAGGTGGTCCTGGCCCTGGTGGCTCCACCGTGCAACTGCTGGGGCGGGGCGGTGTGGTGCTTGAGCGTTTCCCTTTGTCTCTGGATCCCAACGCCCCTCGGCCTCTGCTCGCTCCTCCTCCTCCTCCTCCTCCTCCTCCTCCTCCTCCTCCTCCTCCTCCTCCTCCTCTGGAGGCGCTCAGTCATTTTTCTCCCTCCCTGGCGGTTGCAAGGTGCTCCTGGCCCTGGTGGCTCCACCGTGCAACTGCTGGGGCGGGGCGGTGTGGTGCTTGAGCGTTTCCCTTTGTCTCTGGATCCCAACGCCCCTCGGCCTCTGCTCGCTCGCTCGCTCGCTCGCTCGCTCCTCCTCCTCCTCCTCCTCCTCCTCCTCCTCCCTCCTCCTCCTCCTCCTCCTCCTCCTCCTCCTCCTCCTCCTCCTCCTCCTCCCCCAAGATCTTCACCGCTGGAGCCAGCGCAGTCCGTCCTTGATAACAGTGCATCGCAGGCCGAGATCACGCCGCACACGCCGCTAGCGGCCTGCGGCCGGCCCGGATGGCACGGAGGAGCCTTTCGCGTTTTGCCGTCGTCGTCGTCTCCCATCGAAGATCAGGGACCGATGGTTGTTGTCTGGGCCTCCCAGATGGAGGTCCGAGTAGATGTGGTCGGAGGATCGCGCCGCATCGCCGATGCATCGGCGATGCGGCTCAATGTGGGGCCCAAGTATCTCCACGCCGACGTCGCCGATGCATCGCCGACGCCGCCAGCGCATCGCCGATGCATCGGCGATGCATCGTCGATGCATCGGCGTTGCGGCGAGATCCTCCGACCCCCTACTCGGACCTCCATCCAGGAGGCCTCTACCTTGGCTGGTGTTTCTAATTCTGTCTGGGGGAGCCTCTGAGAGGCCTCCAGAGGATCGGGGACCGCCGGCGTGGTCGCCGGCGGCGGCCGGCCAGCATTCTTGGAGCAGGGAAGCCCGGAGCAGGAGGGAGGACAGGGGAAGAGGAGAAGGGGTAGTAAGAGGAGGGATGAGGAGGAGGAGGAGGATGCGTGTGTGTGCGTGCGTGTGTGTGTGTGTGTGGATGGCAAGATTGGGATGTTGGGGCATCACAGGGTTACGCTTAGATCTGCACGTGTGAGGTGGTGCCCGATCTGGTGTTGGACGGAGAGGACGCCAAATGGCATGATGTCTTGCATTGTTGGTCTCTCGCATATCCCCTCGTGCTTCTTGGGACGACGCTCTCCTCGCCTGGTAAAGCATGTCCCAGTATTCTGGGCCGGGCGATCGCGCATCCACCTGAAGTATTGGGACGCGGCCAACGAGTGGAGGCCTGAGAATGAGGCTCCGCAGTTGTCTCAACCGCTGGGATGGCAAGGGCAGGCCATGGTCGAAGGGCCCCCGGCTTTACATCAACACCTACCTTGGTCAGGCCAGGCAGAGGATCATGAGCCCAGGATGGGCCTGGCCAGGATCGGTTTTGGTGTCTCGTTGGCGGCCTCGTGCAGGGGTAGGGGTACAAGGGGAGGGGAGCTGCTGGAGAGGAGAAGGGTGGGGAAGAGAGAGAGAGAGAAAGAGAACAGATAATCGAGAGGTGGTCGGGCCAGAGGAGGGAGGGACCTCAGGGAAGATGGGGATGGGAGCTGCTGAAGAGCTAAACACCGCTCCGCGAGACCATTCCTGTTGCGGTCAAGGTCGAGCCGGGGACGCGTTTGTCCGCCATGTGCAGGGAAGGCGAGTTCAGGCCACCACCCTCTCTTGAGGAGGGAGGAAGACGAGTTGCAGGAAAAAAAGTTGGAGCAGCAGGGCGAGGTTCAGGCCGCGCACCTACTAGTGAATAGTCATTTGTGCTCTGTCGCCGGCTCGTCTAGGGCCAGTGCATCTCTTTCACCGACATGGCCGTTCCCACCTTCTCGGTCGTCTGCCGCTCCTCCGCTCTCGCGCCTCCGGTCCCAGTCTTCGTTCTCTGCGTTTCCCTTCTTTCATCTTCCGATCCTTGCCTGGCTAGGCCAGCAGGTGTATGTCTCTCTCTCTCTCTATTTCTATCTCTATCATTCTTTTCCGCCCCACATGTTTGTCTCCCCCACCGATCGTCCATGTTTTTTCATGTTTCACATCCTACATCACCCCTTTCTCCTCGCCCTCCCCATTCAGGCATCACATGCGTCCTGTGTAGGTGGGCGCCGCGTATAGCAGAAGAAACCAGACCTCGTGCACTGCTTTCCGGTCTCTGGCGCGAACCACAAGATAAGAGGAAGGGACAAGTGCCATTCTGGTCGCAAATGGACGGAAACGTCAATGGACGGAAACGTCAATGGAAGGTGTTCAAATGTGAATTGTTTCTGCGTTGAGGCTCGGCCATTCGGAGTGGTACCCATTTGCGAAGAAGCAGTCGCAAGACGGTGGCCGGTAATGCTCAGCAGCCTCCTGCGATCGCTCCGCCAGAGCGCGTGCATCCAGCTTGCGGTTGGCCAGTGGACTTCGCGCACGCCACATGTCTTAGGAATGGCGCCCCACACATCATGATAATACGAGGATTCTGATGTTCCAACCTACTGTAGCCTTGACCACCAGAAAGAATTTCGAGCACTAGGAATGTACCCAAACTGGAAGGTGTTCGCGTATCGGGCCCTGGGAGGCGATATTCGTTCGACATTGTTTCGATATGCTTCTGGGTGCTCGATGTTATTTCTGGGATGTGGTCACCATGTACGAATCCTCATGTACGATGGGGGCAACATAATGCGAGGGACAGATTCACATTTGTTGGAACACGGAACGTACATGTGGCTCCAACCGTGCATGTTTCGGCGGCACTTCGGCCTTGCACCCCCCCCCCCCTTTCCAGCCTTCCAGTTTCGGGCCATCTTGGGGTTCTCTTGGAGACCTTCACGGGGCCATCTTCGGTGGTCGGAAGCCCGCACAGGCGAAGATTCGAAAATTGTTGAACACCAATGTTTAAATACATGGCTTGGGCCTCCTTGAGACCCTCTTGAGTCGCCTTGGGGGCCTCTTCGTCTGTGGTAGCGTCTCGGCCCGTCCCGCCACTGCGCTTGGGTTGTAGGTCAGAGACCTCTTTGATGCTTGTGGAGATCTCTCGGGGGCCCTCTCGGAAGCCTCTTGGAGGTCATCTTGGGGCGGAGGGTCTGAAGTGTCAGGTCGAAGTGCCCCTCGTGGGCCGTCGTTGGGGCCTCTTGGCCCGTCTTAGGGCCCTCTTGAGCCGAGTTGGAGCGTCAGAAGCCCGTACAGGTGAGAACGCTACAATCATTCGAGTACATAAATTCGTGATCTCTGCATATCGGTCCTTCTGAAGGGGCTTTGTCACAGGCGAATTAGATGCGTATCGCAGTCTCTTGGGGCGTGGCTTGGATCATTTGGGGTCGTTTTGTGTCGCCCTTTCGAGCTCTGTGGCCCGTATTGGAGCGACATCGGGAGTATCATAGTGGAGGCTTCCGTGGGCAGTTTTGGAGCGCTCGTCCAGGGCCGCTTTGGGGCGATATCAGGGGCCCGTGGGCCGCCTTGAGCGCTCCGAGCCCCAGACACATCAGATCACAAAACAAACAACCAAAAAACAACAGGAGCGCAATGAGTGTTGTTCCCCACCCGACGGGTTGGAGCCGTTATTGGATTTTAAGAGCAGATTTCCCGAGCCGTCCACCTTGCATACCGCGGCCGCCAGGTCCCCCGGGTATCCCCGAGAGTCCCGCCTCGCGCCATTCTGCATACCGCAGCCGCTAGATCCCCAGGTCCTCCGAGTGTCCCTGAGAGTCCCGCCTCGCGCCATTCTGCATACCGCGGCCGCCAGATCCCCAGGTCCCCCAAGTGTCCCCGAGTGTCCCGCCTCGCGCCGACAAATCAGGACATAGCAGGGCGGTAGTAGGATAAAATAGCAGAACATGGTACAGCACTTTATTAGAAACTATGACATAACAGAGCATAACACCACACCACCTAACAGGACACATCCGAGCATAACTTACAACATCACAACAGAACATGGCGAACATAGCGTAATACAAGCACACCATGACAGAGCAGTGTAAACCATAGCACAGCATCACAGCACATAACATTACATGGCATGACACATCAAGCATACCACAAGAACGTATCGCAGAGTTCGACATACCAAGACAGAACATGAGACAGTCTCACATACACTTGGCACAGCATATCAGAACACAACACAGCATAAAAACGCATGATACGACAGACGGGATCATACATCAGAGTGAGGGGGCGAACGGTCATTCATTGTCCTTGGGTGCTTGGCTGAAGTTGGATTCCGTGATGCAAGTCTGGTTGTTGTTGAATTCTAATTACTGAATAATTCGACCGGCCGACCGTGCTTGGGATGTGCGTTGGATTGGGATGTGTGCTGGGACGTGTGTTGGGACGTGTGTTGCTTTCGTGTGCGGGGCTGTGTGCTGCCTCCGTGTGCTGGGATACATGCCGGGATGTGTGCTGGGATACGTGTTGGGGTGTGGCCTGGGTGTGCTGGGGTCTCTGGGCCAAGATGTGCGTTGGGATGCGTGCCGCCCCCGTGTGCTGGGATGCGTGCTGAGATACGTGCTGGGTGTGTTGGGGTCCACCGTGCCCCCCCGTCCACCCCCTCCTCCCTTCCGACTGACCAACCGTGCAACCCCCCACATTTTTCCGCCCCGTGGCCCTGTGTCTACTTATTCCGACCGACCGACCGACCGTGCCCCCCCCCCTCTGCCCGACCGTGCCCTCCCTTCCCCCTGCCCCCCCCCCCGCACTTCTCCGCCCCGTGGCCCCCTTGTCTGCTTATTCCGACCGACTGACCGTGCCCCCCCCCTCTCTGCCCGACCGTGTTTTCCCGTCTCCTTGCTCACCTCCCGCACCCCTCTGCCCCGTGGCCCCCGTCCGCTTATTCCAACCGACCGACCGTGCCCCCCCTGGCCGACCGTGCCTTCCCGTCCCCCTGCACTCATCGTCATTCCCATCCCCATCATGATCTTGTTCATCGTTGCCTTTTCCATTCGCCCCCACAGTGGCGTCCTCTGGGACGTTGCCAACAAGACGCATCACTTGTACCAAGACCTCTTGGACGGTGGCAGGTGGAAGTACGATCAAGTCGAGGCAAAGGATGCTGTTTGGGCAACAGGGATGATCTCGAGTTGGCCGCTCAAACCTTGTCGGGGTGGAGCGGTGTCAAGATCTGGCGGGAACGTGTGCACGGTTCGGGTTGAACTTGCCCGTGTCCATACCGTTATTTGCACGATCGTTTGAGGACAGATCAGTATGAGCCCGATTGATAGTTGTGGCGGCAGTTGTAGTCCAGGGTGGTTATTTGGAGTCCAGGGAGGGAGTGCCTGTTGTCCAGAAAGGCGCATGTGTTCTAGCGGAAGGCACTTGCAGTCCGGAGAGAGGCTATTTGGAGTCTTGGGGGGGTAGTCGTAGTATGGGGATTCGATTTGTCATGCTGTCATGCGAATGGGGGCGGCCTGCAGGGTACGTGTAATCGAACGGCTTTTGGTCCGTTGTTTGTTGTCCAGGGGAGGTGTTTGTAATCCAGGTGGTGGATCGGAGGTTGAGGGGTGAGAGCGGCTTGACCTCAGTAAGGGAATCGGTTTCGGTGTCGCTTCGTGCCGCGCATGAGGCGAAGCTACGCGAGTTCCTCCGCTAGCTAGGGCCAGGTCATGCCAAAACGAGTCGCGCCCTGTCCGCTGGGGCGTGCCCGTGGGTTGCCCCAAGCTTGTGCCGTAGTTCTCCCGTGGCGTGCTCGGGATGGTCCCCGAGCCCTGGTTGCCCCGTGTGTCCCATAGTTGCCCCTTGGTTGACCCGTGGTTGTCCTGCGGCTGTCCGTGGTTGTCTTGCGGCTGCCCCGTCTGTAGGTGATGAGAATATAGTGAGATTGGTAGCTAGATAGTTGGACCGATAGGTAGTGAGACCAACACATAAATTTATAGCGACATCGGGATCGAGAGATCGGCCGATGTCTTGCTGACGAGAGGGGTGGATTGGAAGTAGAGCCAGCGGATGGTTTGATCAGTGACCCGTGGTTGCCCAGCAGCTGTCCCGCGATTGTCCCGTGGTTGCTTTGTGGTTGCCTTGTGAACTGTCCCGTGGTCGCCCCGTGGTCATCCCGTAATTGTCCCGTGGTTGCCCCGTGGTTGTCCCGTGGTTGTCCTGCAGTCGTCCCGTGGGTGTTTTGTGGCTGCCCCGTGGTTGTCCCGTGGTGGTCTTGCGGTTGTGCCGTGGTTGTCCCGTGGTCATGTTGTGGTCGTCCCGCAGTTGTCCCGCGGTTGTCCCGCGGTTGTCCCCTGGTTGTCCCGTGGATTATGCCGTGGTTGCCCCGGGATTGTCCTTTGGTTGTCCCGTGGATGTTCCGTGGTTGTCCCGTGGTTGACCCGTGGTTGTCCCGCGGTCGTCTTTCGGTTGTCCCGTGGTTGTTGCGTCCAGGGATAGGTAAACAGTGGAACCGATGGATAGGTAGTGGTATAGACAGACAGGCATTCTGGTGTTGGGATCAGTCCGTGCGTGTATTGTGAGTGACACGTGTTGATGGTATGACCGATTGATATGTTTTTCGATAACGGGATCGACGGATAGATCTTGAGACCGATATGTTGTGAGATCGACAGATGTTGAGATCGATCGATAGATTGCCAAGCCGATCCGACGCCAATCGCAAACCGAAAATTGCACACATCCCCCCTCCCAAACTCCTGATCACCCAAAAGGAGGTTTCATAGGTAATTGATCCACTGGTTGTCCTGCGTGGGTTGTCCTGCGTGGGTTGTCCTGCGTGGGTTGTCCCGTGGGTTGTCCCGTGTGTTGTACCGTGGTTGTCCCGTGGTTGTCCTGCAGGCACGTTGTCCATCCCGTGGTCCACGTGGTTGTCCCGTGGGTAGTCCCGTAGTTTGTCCCGTGGTTGTCCCCCGAGTTGTCCCGCGAGTGTATGTTGGGTGCCCCGTTGGAAATTCAAGTCGTCAATGAATTCCGATTGCAAAAAGATATGGAATTCTGAATTAAATATGAATTCGAATCGAAATGTAAAGCGCACGTCGAGATGCAAATCCAGTTGCAATCGGCATGCAAATCGAAATGCGAATTCAGTTTTTTATCGAAATTCACATCAAAATGAAAATATAAGGTCCATTCGCAGCGCAAATCAAAATATTCGAATTGCCGAAGTACAGTTCGACACCCGCATCCGATTGCAAATCGGCATGTCAAACGAATTGTACATATGAAAATGCACATGAAATTGATGGAAAGTCGCGACGCACGTTCAAGAGCAATAGACATGCAATATCAGCTCCCAACAACCTCCTTAAAACCCGAAGGATGATCAACGAGGTATATTGGGCCCGGAGTGGTGGGGCACGTGTAGTCCGAGGGAGGGTTATTGTTGCCCAGGGGTATTTGCAGTCCCCAGAAGTATTGAGGGATTTACATATTGTGTGATTGTTTGTTCTGGTATTGGCAGAGACGGCGCATGCAACGATGCAAGGTGAGGGTAGGCCGTTTGTTGGTGTCTTTGTGAACGACTCCGATTTCACGCGAGATCGTTGCAAATTCATCATAGCAGTTGTATCAGTATCTCGCAGAGTGTCCCTCCTGTTCTGCCTCCCGTATCGAACCACATCCCTCTTCGCGGCATCAGTCGGCGCACATCTCGCCAGGGCGACTCCGACATCGTGGTCTGGAACTCATGGGTCGGCACCTCAGGCTAGGCACACGACGTGAGCTGCCCTTCCTCCCAACGCCGTTGATTGGATTACAGATTTTCGATGTTGACTTCCTATGTTTCGTTTTCCGCAACCTCTCCTGTGGTGTGCATTCGGTTTGAATAGAGCACCATTGCTCCCATCCCGTCCTGTACCGATACCTTCCTTCCTGTCTCGAATCTCCTACTTGCCTCCTACCTATCCTTCCTGGGTGTTGCCTACTGTGCAACTTTCGCCGTTTTCTGTTAGCTCATAATGCATCGGGCAGGGTGCAGCCTTATCCAGATCACAATTGGACTTCGCCTCCTCGGTGTGACGGTATGTGCAACCGCCACCACTTCATGAGTCTCTCCAAGGTCTGGCGGAGTGCGGTCTCAACCAGGTATGAGGTCTGAGTGCGATTGCGTATCCTTAGGTGGTGCCAACCACGCAACCGCCGCCGTCTTCGTGATCTCCTGGGAGTTCCAGCGGAGTGCGGCCCTGTCCAGACCTGACCGAAACCTCGCCTTCCTGGGCGATGTCAACTGTGGGGACGTCGCGATTTCCATGAACCCTTGTTGTGTCCAGCGCAGCGCAGTCCTACCCAGACCCACGCAGACCTCGCATCCGTGGGTGCTGTCAACTGCGCAACTGCCGCCGTGTTCGTGAACTCCTGCAGGGTCCAGCGAAGTGTGGCGTCACCCAGATCAGAATGGGACTTCGTCTCCGTGATTGCCCCCAGCTGCGCAGTCGCGCCATTTGCGGATTTCCTGGGGCGATCCAGCGGAGTGCGGTCTTACCCAGATGAGAATGAAACCTTACGTCCGTGGGTGTGGCCAACTGCGAAATTGTCGCAATGTGTTGAGTTCCGGAGGGTCCAACGGGGCGCGGTCTTATCCAGATCAGGATGCGTTTTCGAGTACATCGGTGCAGTGGACGGCGGAATTGTCACCACGTTTGTGAGCTCCCAGAGTGTCCAGCGGAATGGAGTCGTAAAAAAATCAGAATGTCTCCGGTGCTGCGAACCGCGCATCCGCCGCCATTTTCATGATTTCATGGGGGGTCCAGCGGAGTACGGTCCCACAGTGATCAGAATGCGACCTCGCATCCTTGGGTGTTGCCCAGATCACAATGCGGTGTCGCCTTTTCTAGGTGGTCCAAGCTGCGCAGCTGTCGCCACTTTCGCGCGTTCATAGGGGATCGAGCGGAGTGCAATCTTATTCAGATCAGATTGCGGCCTCCCGTCCATGGGTGCTGCCAACAGCGCAATCGCCACGTCCGTGGGCTTCTAGGGTGTCCATAAGAGTGCAGTTTCAAGCAGACCCAAACGAGATATCACTTCCCTGGGTGTTGCCAAGTACGCAACTATTTGCCTCGCTGAGTCACGTCACGAGTGATCGAGAAAGCCGCCTGTGCATCTGATGACGTACCTCTTCGGCGCGACGTTTCTCATGGCGCCATAAAAAAGAGACGACTGCAACGTGTCATCGTCATCTCTTGGACCTCTCATGGTGTGGTTGCCTCTCCCCCTGGCCTTCCCTCATCTCTCGCTTGTTCCTAACCCATACATCCTTTTGGTCCGTTCCTCCGCCCCTCTCCCGCCCGCTCTTCCCTCATCAACAGCGCACTCGTGCTCTGACCCGCAAGAGTGCCTACTCCAGATTTCGTAATAAAAGGGAGGGGGTCTGGACCCTCCAAGACAAGCCATTTCAGACCTCCCCCGTGGGAGAACCCTCCAAAACATCGTCCCCAGACCCCCCCAGGCCCTCCAAGATAGCCTGGAAGAGACCCCCCCCCGAAATGAGACCCCCCTCCCTTTATTACGAAATCTGGAGTACTTTAGATACGGGGCACCGGTCGAGGCCTTCGCTTCTCCGGCACGGCTTGCAAGAGCACGGGAGACCCCCCAGTGCGTTCTGTCCATTTGATGGCTACCGCGTGTCCGAACACAATGGGTGCGTCGCTGGATGAATGTTCGAGTCGGCGCGTGGGTCTGTAAGGTCCCCTTCCCGTTGTCAAACAATTGCAGCAGTACGGCGAGGGCAGTTGCCAGGAAGGGCCAGCCACGTTCTCAGAGTCGTTGTGTTCGCTGGTGTTGTCAAAGAGGTCGTCGCGGCGTGCCCCCGATCCAGTCAGGACGACACGTGTCTGCCATGAGTATCTGACATGGCAGAGAACTTCCTGAGAGGATGTGCGGTATCCCTCAACCTCCTCGTCGTCCCCCCGTTGTTTTCCCCTCAGCCTCCTCCCCCTTGTCTTGGCATCGTTCGGACGTGTGCATCTTTTCTCGGCGAGAACCATCGAGGACCATCCTGGACCATCGAGCAAACAAAACACGCACGAAACCGAAAAATGCACGGAAAATGGACGTCCGAGCGACGGCAAGATAGTGCCCCACTATCTTTTCACAAGGACCCTCAGAGGGCCCCCAGAAACCCTGGGAGAACCCCGGACGTACGCGACGCGAGTGTCCGGGTGGAGAACGGACTGCACATTGCGTAGCTCGGGATGCTCAGGCACGCGGCGGCCAGCTTTCCACGAGCGAGGCCGTGGCAATTTTCTCGGCGAGTCCGATGCACGGGAAATGGACACCCGAGCGACGGCAAGTTGTTGTCGTCCTCTTCCTCCCCTTGTTCTGCCTGCGCCTCCTCTGAAGTCGGGCCTGTCCCCCCACAGGGGGACTTTCGACGGAACATAAAAAATTACCCCAAAAATAGCCTGGGGACTATTTTGGGGGAGTATGTTTTGACCTGTTTGGGGGCATTGTTGGGGTACGCTTTTATTCCTCATCGAAAATCCCCCTGTAGGGGGGCACGCCCGACGTAAGCCTCCTCCGCCTCTCCGCGGGGTCTGGCGGTGGCCCTTCCCCGGCGGGGCCCTCTGCCTGCGGGGAGGGCAGCGGCGCCCCGCCTTCTGACCCCCTCCTCCCTCCTCCC